ACCGGCTGTAGCATCCTGATACTGCTGATACTCTGCAACAAGATCATTCATATTACTCTCTGCCTCGGTGAACTCCATTTCGTCCATTCCTTCTCCTGTGTACCAATGAAGGAAAGCCTTTCTCCTGAACATAGCTGTGAATTGTTCGCTCACACGCCTGAACATCTCCTGGATCGAAGTTGAGTTCCCGATGAAAGTCGATGCCATCTTCAAACCCTTTGGTGCAATATCACAGACGCTGGACTTGACATTGTTTGGGATCCATTCCACAAAGTACGATGAGTTTTTGTTCTGAATGTTCATCATCTGCTCATCGACTTCTTTCGTGCTGAGCTTTCCACGGAACACAGCGGATGCAGTTAAGTAACGTCCATGGCGAGGATCAGCAGCGCACATCATGTTCTTTGCATCCCACATCTGCTGGGTGAGTTCAGGGACACTCAAGGCACTGTATTGCTGTGATCCTCTTGATGTCAATGGAGCGAAACCAACCATGAAGAAGTGGAGTCTTGGGAAGGGGATAAGGTTCACAGCGAGTTTCCTAAGGTCAGAGTTTAGTTGACCAGGGAAACGGAGACAGCAAGTAACTCCACTCATGGTAGCCGAGATGAGATGGTTAAGGTCACCAACTAATGAAGCACAAAAGAAAGAAAACAAGTCAGGACTCAATTACATTACATGAATATACATGTTGCATGATCAATTCTCAGATTATATGAACAAAAGATAGAGGAGAGATACTCACATGTAGGATTAGCAAGCTTGAGGGTACGGAAGCAGATATCGTAGAGAGCCTCATTGTCCAACACCATACACTCGTCAGCGTTTTCGACAAGCTGATGCACAGAGAGAGTTGCATTGTATGGCTCAACAACAGTGTCAGAGACCTTAGGAGAAGGAAACACTGAAAAGGTCATCATCATACGATCTGGATACTCCTCTCTAATCTTAGAGATAAGAAGAGTTCCCATGCCAGATCCAGTTCCTCCACCCAATGAATGACAGACTTGGAAACCTATTCAAACCATTATCACAAGATAAACGCATCACCAATCTGTATAACAAAAACCATCTCTAACATAAACGAAGATCATCACCAATCCAGTTTTCAAACATAAACGAAGATCTCATTGTTCTGATTCAACGATTG